AAAAAAATAAGATTTACTCGTGAATTTTTTGACATCCCTGATGCTACCAGTCTGCCCCCACTAATGAGCTTCTCATCTTGACCATGAGCATAATCAGAGCCAACAGAAATACTAATCAAGTTTCGAGTCTTCGCTGTACAATTGATTCAATAAAAAGCACTTAAGCGTCTAGGTAAACGTCACGTTTAATATGCATATGAATATGGAAAATAAAAACAGAAAATAATATAAATATTATTTGAAAGGATGTTCAAAAAGGATAATGCGCASTTGACATGCGAGTGGCTTGTGGCTTGTGGCTTGCTGCCCGGCTGACTGTCAGCACATTTTGCCTAGCTGTGCGCTCATGCAGAATGAACCGGTGCGCTGACCTTCTTCAGCATAAACTTTAAAAGGCCACAACATCAATGGCCCAATCCGAATTTTATTCTGTTTTGTTGCCGTCTTTTTTCTGTATGTAGACATCGGCATTTCCGGCTGGCAGCCAAGCAGCTCCAATTAGCCCTTAAATGGATTTGTGTAACACATTTGGGACCCCGAACCCAACTACAATACATTTGCCCTGGAGATTTGTGGCTGTAACAGGACCTTCTTACGGCGCCCGCTTCGCTGGCTCTCAAATTTACATCGCTTGCTGAATTTATTGTGCCCACATTCCATTCAGTTACAGCTTCAGCAGCAGTAGATTCAGCTTTAGCTTCGGGTTTTCGGCCCATTGTCGCGTTGCCGCCGGCCTCACAGGCCGCCAGCGACACAAACATTTCATTTTAATATCCTTTATTCGCTGGAAACGAATGCGACATACACAGAGACAGAGAAATATTGAGAGAGAGAGAGAGAGAGGGAGAAACAGCAGAACCCACTGCTGCTGCTTCACTGCGTCGCCAAACGCTGATCATTCGGGCGGGTCGCTGTTTCTGTTGTTGCTTCTGTTATTCCAATGTGCCGGAACATTAAGCGTTGAAATATTTATGAGCTGTGCACACACACACACACACACTTACGCACACACAAGTCTCTATGTGTGTGTGCGTGTCCTTAATGAGTGTTTGCAGTGTACCGAAAATCTGCATTTAAGACGGCTTTAAGTCTTAATGGCACATTTCAAATGCACTCGGCACAGACGCCATTTTGTATGGAATACTTTCTCACATTTTTATAGCATACTTTTCAGGTGCGTGCTCAAAATATTTAACGATAAGTAAGCTCTTTGTGCTTGAGCTGTGTGGGCATTATTCACAGCTGTTAATGCCGAATAGTATAAATACCATAATTACTTAATAGGAGAGTTAATCAGGCATCAGAAATAGTATAGTATATGAATTTTATTTATAGTATTTTAATCATAAACATTATTTAAAAAATAAAATAAAATTCAAATATGTTTGATAGTTTTCGAGTTGAGTATCCTAACTGAAATTTGGTAATTAATGAGTATTCATTGTA